TTTGTCGATAAATTTTTTTACCAATTGACAAATATCTGTTTTCTAATGATTTACGAAACTGAAATGTTTATAAATAGAATACATAAATATTACAAAATTTTCAAAACAACAAAAAACAGTAGAATAACGAAAGAATAGTGAACTTAGTTATATTTAGAAACAAAAAAAAATGACGAATGAAAAGAAATGACAGATAAGATTAATAGATGAGTTAACTGACGAGTTATGCGTAAAATGATAAAAAAAAAAATGAGAAGGTTCGTGAGCCAGTAAACCATTACTCATTAGAAGCCTATTCATTGCACAAGCTATGAATCAATCAAATTGAATTAAAACATGTCAACCCGTCAACACCTCTGAAGAGATATGAACGATCAAGATCAAGTGGTGATGATTAAATATTTAATGTGTATGCGCATTGTTAATAACATACGTACAGATGAAAGCTTTTATTGATGATGATTATAATTTTTATAGTTACGAATCTTCATCTTTTAAAAGAATATCTAGCAATATTTAAATGGTCAGATGATTATATATCAACTTATTTCGTTTATTCAATCGAAAAATTCTGCTTACATTAATCATTACCTTAGTATGTGTATAATTCTATTTGAATAGATACATAAACAATTTGATTAACAATAAAAAGATAATTGTTATGAGAAAAAAAAAAAAACATCGAAATTGACATTAAAATGTACGATGAACAGCAAAACCTAAGAGAATATCGATTTCGCTTGATCTATTAAATATGTCTTTAAATAAGACATTAGATATATATACAATGAATAATTGGTAAATGATGACAGATTGATTACAAGCTTTTGATGCCATTGACGTTCGACAGATATTAATTACATATTATAATATATGTCAATCATTGTATACATCAGCAGTTTTTCGCTCTTCGTATTTAGATTTCAAATGATTTGATAATATGTATTGAGTATACTTGAAACAAAGTTATTTTTATCAAAATAATCAACATTAAAATTGATCAAACATAGTTTAGAATATTTTTTTTTTGTTGGGTTAACATGACTATTTCTATTTTACTTAATCAATATTCATTTTTATATATTGAATAATTCGATTAAGATGTTTAAAAAAATTTCTTCTATCCATACACACTGAACTTTTCACGCTTGAACTTTTTCGTTTTGATTTAATTCAGAGCATAACTCTACACTTCAATTGTGTCTTATTTCAATCAATAATTCACTCAACCGAAGCGAAACCAACGAACAATAGCGATACACTTTTAATGATCATTTTTATCGTTAGTAACCTTCAATAAACATGTCTCTCTTACTTATTTCTCTATTATTGTTTATACAATTATTACGCACTACTTGTAATAATTTATCATTCAATAATTCCAACTGTTCTTTATCATTTATAATTCAAGCAAATTATCAAATAAATCAGATTCAAACTAAATTTCCAATTGAATTTACTGCTAATTATAATTTAACATGTAATATTCCAAATTTAAAAGCTTATTATGAAATAATACCTTTAGATCTTCTTGTTGTTGGTTCTTATGAAATTGAAAATATATCTATTAAATCGATGATTGAATTACATACAAAAAGATTTTATTTTAATATAGATCAACCATCAACAATTCGATTATGTGTTTTATCATCTAATGATGATGATGATGACGATGATGATAATGATTATCAAATATGTCGACAAATTCATATTGGTATTAATACTTTATATAACTTTTGGACTTTACCAATGAGAGTATTTTATATTCTTTTAATATCTACGATAGCTCCTTATCATATTTTATTTTTTCTACGAGAACTATGGCGTCGAGGTTGGAAAACACCGAAAATATCACGTCCAGTTATAAAACGACAATCAATTAGTGAAGCAAAACATGACACATTTGAAAATGAGAAAGTTAATGAAGAAAATATGTCGGGCGATGAAGATGAAGATGAAGATGAAGAATAAAATAAATAAAGTCATAATTAATTTCATTGTTCTTTTTTTCTCTTTTCTTGTAAATATTTTTGTAAATATTAAATTTCAATAAAAATTTTATTTCAAGGTAAAAGATAAAAAGGTTATCTAATATAAGAGGGTATGATATTCATTCAGTCAAGTGTTTACTCTTCTTCTTCTTCTCCTTCTTCTGCTGCTGCTTCTTCATTTTGTTCTTCTTCTGGTGCAGGTTGTTCTTCAGCAGGTGGTTCTTCTTGTTCTGGTGCTTCGGTTTCTTCAGCAGATGGAGGAGGCTGAAAAATAAAAATATCAAATTATAAAATAAAATATTAATTTAGAGTTTGATTTACTAATTCTTCATTTTTTGTAGATGCACGTTTAGTTTTTCGTGGTAAACCCTTATCAGCTGGAGGTGATTTATGTTTTATCTTAGCTTTTGGACGTTCGGGAACAAAGTCGTTTGATTTTTTTTCTGTAGCCCAAACATCACGACGATCTTTGAATGTACGACGATCAGTTACTAAATATAATTGTTCATCACGTATTTTTTTTTTATTGTTTGAAAAAAAATTAATTAATTACTTACGACGTTCATATCGACTAAAAAGTGATACTTTTGCCTAAAAGAAAATTACAAAAAAAATTTTAAAAAAAGTTAAAATTCAATAACAAACCGGTGCTTGTGCTGTTATATCATTAACACCAGAAAAACTAAAATTGATGAAAGAGAAGTTTTTTTTTCTACTGATAATGATAAATAAATACTTACAGACCACCTCCAAGACCAGTATGCACGATATTTGATTTACGTGTTTTAGCTTTTCTAAAATAGATCTAATAATTTTAGAAAATATAATAGATATTATTTCATTACCCTTTTTCAATTTGACGAGCACGTTCACCTAATTCGACCATCTAAAATACATATCATTTAATTATTATAAATATATAGTTTTCTAACTAACATCATATTTTTGTCGTTCAAATCGTTCGCTTAATTCATAAATAGCACCATGTAACTGTTGAAGAAGATTATGAAATTGTTTTGCCTTTTATTAAAATTAAAAAAAATTATTGTTATTATTATTATTATTATTATTGTTATTATTATTTATGACAAGAAAAACCTTTTCAATAAGATCTTCTTTTGTTTTGCCATCAAGATCTAATGCTGGTACACGTTGTGAAAGTATGGATCGTTTCTCTCGTTCTAATTGTTCAGGAGATTTTTGTAAATCTTCCTTTGCTTTAAGTACATTACTAAAAGCTGAGCCACTTGCCACTGAGAATGAACATATTATTTATAATAAATATTGTAATCTGTAATATACTTACTATTCTCAAAGGTCTATTATTGCAACGAGAAAAAGAGTAGATGGTATTTATGATGAGAAGAGCATATTTGTAGATATTTCCTCTTTTTTATAGATAGGGGGAGAAGAGAGCAGGAAGAAATCGATCAGATTTTTCTTTTGCCTTGTACAATAGACAACCTATAGAGAGTATGCAATAAAAATACAAACATATGTGCTGTTGTCCCATATTTCTTTCTTATTTGGAAAGTAAGAGACATATATACATATCAATATATTTATTCTGGAAAAAAAGCTGTTGTTCTATATCGAGCAACCAAAAAAAAACTGCTGCATCACATCATAGTCGATGATGATGTGTGAGAATGATCAAATAGTGTACATAATAAATCTAAGACAGAGAGAAAAAACAGATAGAAAAACAAAAAAAAAAGGAACAACATCTGTATTAACACTCGTGCGTTTTTCTTATGTACACTCTTGGATATATATATATTGATTCAAAAGTTATTTTTTCTTATGTGAATTTTGACGTTGTTCAAGTACTGTTTGAATATCACTTAGTTGCTGTTGTTGAATACTAGCATTTAAAGTATTTTGATGAGTCTTCTTTGATTTATTTATAATAACATCAATATCTATGGTTTCGTCTATATTATGAGGAATTAATGCAGCATCACCATAACGTTTTGGAGCAGGAGCTTTTGGTAATTGTGGCACGGGAGCAATTATTATTGGTCTTGGAGGAGGTAGTGGTGTTGGTGATGGTACTGTCTTTTGAATTTGGACTAAAGGTGTTATAGGAGTCATTGTTTTAATAGGTGAAACTGGTACTTTTGATTCTGATGAATTAACAGTAGGATTAGATGTTTGTTGTTGTACAACTTGAGGAATTTCATTAACTAAAGGTTTTGAAACAAGAGGTGGTGCAATAATACTCGATGTTGTTGGCTTATTAATATTTGTATTTTTTTCAGTACCATCATTCACATCTATAAATTCAAATGTTTGTTCGTTTGATAATACCGGATCATTGATTAATTCAAAATCATCAATATCAGTCATTTTGATTGCGTTTTACAAATAGATGAAAGACGTTGAAAATGAAAGAAAAAATTTCTATTTGTTTTTTCCTTTAAATACTGTATGATTAGTGACAAAGTTATTTCACAACTATTATGCAAACCAACATTACACATTTGGAATATCAAAATGGTTTCTTTTCTTTTTCAAGATATAATGTGACTCATATTATTGTAATATGATTTCTTAATTTAGTGCTCGAATAGTTATATTTTCTATCGCATGATTAAATAAATTTTTTTTATAATAAAAAAACGTTTAACTATAAAACTACGTTATCAAAAAAATCATGTGAAAACATATTAGTTTTTAGCATTTGAATCAGTTGGACCAAGTGCAATGGTAAAATCAGGATATTTTTCTTGAAGAATTGTTTTTGCTCTTCTATGGTCAGCAGGACCGTATACCTTAATATAGGAATAAAAATAATAAATGAAATTTATTGTTGAATTTTTTTAAATACTTGTGATTGATCAAAGAGATTAATTTTTTTCTGTTCAAAATCAACTTGTATTTTTCCACCACCTAATATGTATAAATCATTTAATGGTCCACCAGCTTCATCTTGAAGTTTTTTAAATATTTTTTCTGAAAAATTTTAATAAAATGAAAGAAAATATTTCTATAAATTTTGAAATTACCATGATAATCAGCTGTTGGATCAGCACGAATTAAATATTTTTGACCAAGTTGTGCAAGAATATATTTGAATTTGCCTGATTTTGAACCAATATTAACAATTGGAAGTATTTTATTCATGATTATCTTCAACAAATAATAATCTTTTTTTTTTTAAATTTTAGTTCTTTAAAATATAATGAAAATATAATCTGGTTTTAAATAGAAAAGTTTTATCAAACACAAAGGTCATTAGTTTCAAACAATCAAAAATGATTTAATTTAGACATTAGAAAAAAAAAAATTGTTTGTCTAAAAGGGCATTTATTAATGAACCAGCTGTTGTCGTATCACTAAGCAAGACCTTTAGATATTATACGCTCTCTTTTACATCGGATATGGATCCATAAGCTTAAGATCTATTATACAGTATTCATTGCCGAGCTCGATTCTTAAATAATCAAGTGTAGATCATATCTTGCAAAGAATTACTCAGTTAACAATTCAATCAAAGATATAGACTATGTAAATTTACATGTTCTACTTTAAAACAAGATTTGAGGATATTTTTATGTTGAATATATAAAGAATACTCAAAATTGCAAGTCTCATGATGATTTAAGGTTATACGATTCATAACCATTATTTAATAACATATATCGGCATATACAGTGTTTTACCAGATGTTATGTGTGTTTAGTGAGCTTGACAAGCTAATATATATCCTATTTAACGTAGCATGCTATTCCTAATGGTTCTGTTTCTCATGAAAAACAAATCGATTCATTTCTACAGAACAATATATAAATCGAAACTTAAGATAATCTCATCAATAATATTTGTCGAGTGGAATACTACATTTGTAATATTTTAATTAATCATGTCATCTTACAATGTCTCAGATATGTTTACAAATAATATGAAATACAAAAACAAAAGCATAGAATAAACCAATAGTCTAATTAACTAGTGCTTGTTTATTATTTGTATAAATATTTTCTCGAATTTCATAATATAAAAAATGATTCATGCACAAGAGATAAATTAATGAGCTAGATTAAAAGAAAAAGCTTGAATATTTTCATTTGTTTTCTGCTCTAATCAGCTGGTTTGTCAGTTGAAATATTAAAATCAGGATATTTTTCTTGAAGTATTGATTTCGCTTTGGCATGATCAGCAGCACCATATGACTAAATATACAAAAATAATTATAAAGCAAATCCATGAATATTCAATCATTGTAAAAGGAAAAGTTTTTTTTTTCATTAACTACTTGCTTCATGATGACTAAGTGAGAAATAATCAGAAAATAACTTTGTCTGGAAAAAGTTATCAAATTTTACTGTCAATGACCGAGATTGGGAGTGTTTTCTCGGAACACCTAATGAAGAATTACAATATTTTGATCTCATATTTTGTCAATTAGTAGTGAATCGCTAGACTAGAATAATCTGCAAAAGATTCTTCCTTTGATTAAAATTTAATTAAGATATGACTGTTTCAATACATAGGATTTTTATCAAATTATAGAAAAAATGAAAAATTTCTGTGTATTAAAACATTTTGTATCTCAATCAAAAGAAGAATTCTTTGAAAATTGTCCGCGTCTATTGATTTGCTACTAATAGATAAAATATGAGCTTAAAATATTGTAATTCTTCATTAGATATTCCGAGAAAACTCTCTCAATCTCGACAATTTCAATTGAAATTCGACAATCAACTAATTACTTCCCACCTAACTAGCATGAAAAAAAAAGGTGACAAAAAAACACTTTTTCCCAAAAAGTGATTAGACACCTATGGATTTATCCTATACTAATAAAAAAAAATTACTTGAGAATCGCCGAATACATTGATTTGTTTTTTGTCGAAATCAGCTTGAATTTTTCCTCCTCCTAAAACTTTTAATTCACTTGATGTTTTTTCTCCAACATCCTTTTTTAATTTATCAAAAATTTGATCTATCAACAAAAAAACCAAATATAATTAACTTAAAAAAAACACCAATTAGACAATAGTACCATGATATTCCAAACTAGAATCACCACGAAGAATATATTTTTGTCCTTGTTGAACTAAAATATATTTAAATTTGCCTGATTTTGAACCAATATCAACTGTATTTGAACTCATTATAAAAATTAATCTGAAATTTGTTATACAATAAATAAATGACTATACATCAAAACAAAAAAAAAGGAAACAAGCAAACGAGATATTATTATTTGATTTGTATTAAAAAAAAAAAGATAAAATGGACGGATTAATTGAATATCAAAACAAAAAAGAAAAAAAAGAAATCACATATTTAATGCCGTACTGCTGTGGTTGGACGATCATCATTTGTTTCTTTTGGTGTTTTTCTAATTAAAATAAAAATAAAATGATCTATTCGAATTATTCATTTCTTTAATTTCATACTTTTTCTTTTCTTTAACGCTTTTTTTTTTCTTTCTATCCATAAAATCTCGCATAGCTTTTTCAGCACCTTTAGCTGTATATGCTAAATAGACATGAGTTAAATTTAAATCATCATTCTAAAGCAAAAAAAAAAAATTATAAAATTTTTTCTTTTTTGTTTGTTGAAATTTTCAAATTCAATACTTGATCTTGTTTTGATTTTTCTTTATTTTTAATATTATTTCCAGTATATGCAATTGATTTAAGACTCCATTCTCCAAATTGTTCATTCCATACAGCATTCTGTTGAATAAGTTTCTAAATAAATTCATAATTATTTATTTAAAATTTTTAAAAGACAAAAACAAAAAAATACATACGAGATATTCTTCAGGTATATAACTTCCAATAATAAATTCTTGTTTTTGTAATTCACGAAATGCTTGTGAATTAGCTTCAATTAATTCTGTACGTTTCTGAAGATTTTCATTTTCAAGATCTATTAACTATAGAAAATAAAAAAAAAAGAAAAAGAAATTTCATAAATTAAGAAAAAAACAAAAAAGGATTTTTTTTCTTACTTCTCGTTTTGTTTCTTGATATTTTTTTCCGAAAATTTTTAATTTTCTTGTTAAATCTTCAGCTTCTTCTTTTAATGTTGTATATTTTACTTGAACATCAAGTGTTTCAGCCTAAAGAATAATTATTGATTTAGACTGGCTTCCTTTTTTCAAATATATTTTATATTAAACCTCTTTTTGTTGAAGTTGTTTTCTTAATTGTTCTTCATTTTGCATACGTGCTTCTAATTCTCGTTCACTTTCTTCTAATAATTGTGCTTGTTTTTGAGCTTTATCAAGTAAATTTTCACCACCAACAATTAATTTTCGTTCTAATTGTCGAAGTTTTTGTTGAAGATCATCTTTTTCTTTACTATTATTGAATAATAAAAAGAAAAAAATTTGAACAATGAAAAATGAATTTTTTTTTCTTTTTGTTTTTTACATTGCTAGGAGTTCGTCTTGTTTTTCTAAAAGTGCTCGAGCAATTTTATCTCGTTCTTTTTGTGATTTTTCTGTATCATCTTGTAATTTTCTTCGTTCAATTTCAATTTCACGTTCAATTTCTTCTTTACGTTCTTGACGAACACGTAATGGACGTTTACGTACAATACGTTGTCCATGTTCATCAATTTCACTTATATCAGAACCTGATCCTTCATCACCATCACCACCACCTAATTAATATATGTAGAGAGAGAGATTAATTAATATGATTTTAAAAAAATAGTAAACCTTCTTCAACTTGTTTACGTAAACGTTCAATTTCATTTTCTAAATTTCTTATCATAGCATCTTTAGGATCTTCATTAATACGTGCATGATTTTTGATATTTTTAGCTCGATTTGCATATCTAATAATTGAGAATGAAATTAAGATACAAAAATTGATAAATATTTTACCTGAGTGTACTTAAAGATTCCTCATAGTTGTAATCAGCTGGACCAATGTTCGCAATCTAAATCAATGAAATATTTATGAAGAAATATAAAAAAATCGTTTTTTTCGTAGGAAATTCTTTGTAACTATTTTTAGATATATAGATATGGGCGAAAATGGAACATGATTTTCTATAAGGATTGTTTTTTTTGAACAATTTTTTCTCTTTAGAACAAGATCGGTCATAAATAGTACTATGATAAAAAATTGACATATCTCCATTTCAATTCGCTCGAATGGACTGATTTTCTCGTAGTGCTATTTATGTCCCACACTGTATATGTAAAAATATCGACTCTTTCGGCTCATGCACTTAATTAAAGTTAATTATCTAATTAGTTAATCAATTAACATGTAATTAATGAATTACTCTCTAACTTGGATAAATGGAAAAGTTCAAGAATTTCAGAATAGGCTCTACGTCTTAAACTATATCTATGAGGAAATTTTCAGAAGGATCAAACTTTAGAAAGCTGCTTCTCAAAAATTGACTGTCTACAAGTCTACTTTTATCCTCAGAATGAGACTTTTTGTTTTGCTATTATCTTGTGATCTTCGACAAGGATTTGTACAATTTAGAATTGACTTTTAAACTTCTCATTCAGTTTCAAAAAGATTTTTCGTTTCTATATTCGCATTCATTCACGTTACTCACAACGAATAAACTTAATTTTTTTGAAAAAACAAACCTAAATATATTCAAGAATAATTTTGAGTAGAGATTTTATAGCTTGAATAGTTCTCCCTTTGTCTTTTTTTTTTGTACTATGTTGCTTACATTAAAATAAGCTGAAAGAGATGTTCAAGACCAGAGGTATAAACATTTTTTTATTTTTCAAAATCATGTCACTAATAAAATGAAATTGCTCATATGTAATTCAAGAGAGATGAAAAAATTTTTTGACAATATTAACCACCCACCAGTTTATCTATTAATCAATATGATAATGAAGAAAAATTTGACATAAATCTATTTAGATCTAGATTTATTGTTCTTATTACTTGGATTATCAGTAGGATATATTTTTTTATAAATAAGTTCTCATAAATAGAACTAATGCAGAAGAATATCTCGAGGCTGTAATGATGCATATTTACTCAGTAAATCAAATCTATATTTAGTTTTATTTTTATTATAATAAATGTATTAGATAAATGTCAGAGTATGTCATGAGCTCAAGAAATTTCAGTTTGAATTAATATTGAGCAAACATCAAATCAAAACATCTAAGATCTAGC